GGGGGCGAAATTCCTAAAGGGGGGGCGATATTCCTAGGAGATTCGCCCCCCTGGGGGGCGATATTCCTAGGAGATTCGCCCCGGGGGGACGAATATCCTAGGAATATCGCCCCCCTTTTGAGAGGGGGGGGGCGAATCTCCTGGGGGGGCGAATCTCCTGTGACAACGGCATTGTCGCAACTTGTTAACAATTAAGTTTGCTACAAGCCTGTTGCGAAACTTCTAATTTTAAAGCTAGGTATATTTTTCTTTGCTTTCCCTTCTTGCACGATTTTTTTCTTTTGTTTTCCTTTGCGCGAATTTTTTTTGCTGTCCTCCCTCCATGACATTTCTAATGGTCCGTCCCTTAGTATGATAAGGTTGTTTGAATTCTAAAAAATTAAGAATTATACTGTTTTAATGCAAGGATCGAGGATTTGAAACAGATATTAAAATGATAAAAATTTATACCCAGTCGTTCAAAGATAAATTTACACCAATAAATACGTGAAAATCGTATTCCTGGAAACCAAAATCTTGAATACCGAAAACTATCCGAGCATCTGACATTTTAACTTAGGAGGCGTTTTTGAGAAGACGTCTGGCATTTTTTCGGACTGATCCAAATATTAAACAGATCAAAAGTTAAATTTGGGGTTAATCATACTTCAAACATTTATCCAATTATTCATGCACAGTATGTAGTCTTAAAACCGTATCCTTCCTATTCAATCATGCAGATGGTCATTTTACGTTTGATGAAATTTGTGGCTTTAATCAGAACATGTTCTTTGAATTACCTACGGCTGCCTAACTTGAATTATATTTTTTAGTTTCTTATCATGTTATTGAGAAGCCACACGCAGCAAGGACAATAAATAGTAAGTGAATGAAATGAATCACCTCCTTTCATTTTTATGTACATTTCATCGATAATCCTCAAACCTTATATGTTCAACGATAAACCTAATAACCTAAAATGTCATATGGACACATGTATCCTCATATGTGCCTTATGTCGTCACTTCTTCATGAGGACTAGCTTTTTAAGCCTTTTAGTGTATGACATCACGGTCCACGGCATGCAAAACCTTTTGACGGATGTATCATGAACAGTGATCATGAAGGGCGAACATAATGTATTGCGGTGTACAAGGTATAGATTCAGTCTGCAGTAAGATATTCGTCTGCTTGAGAAAAAGTTACCAACAACGATAAAGCTCTTTGGTACTTTGAGTGGAGGCACTTTGTTCATGTTCTTTTAGCTTAAACATCGCATTATTTTCTTTTCCGAAGGTCGACATAAAGTTGAAAGTAGTCCTCGAAGAAGTTATCTCTATAATAACAATGGTGCAAGTCAATACCAATCTTATCCAGCACAATCATACTATCAACAACCTGTATCTAACTATCAGTATCCAGGTAAAATATACTACGAAGTTCATTTAATACCAGTGACAATAGACAGTGCCCGATACGCCCTTCCCGAACTTGCTGATAAAGACAACGGTATGAATAGCTACGAATTCAAGACCAGGGGCGTCGCTTGCCCTGTTTTAATGGAGGAGGCGTGTAAGTGCAATTTTGCCAACTCATCTCAACCACTAATTAATATCTCTTTTCCAAAGAATGTTGACGGGGGAGGTGAACCGTTAAACAACCGCCATTCTGTAATTTCTCCATTTTTTCGTAACTTTTCCAAAAATGTTTGCTATTACAAATTACTTCATACAAAATTTAGGATATCCCGGTGGATATGGGTCTTCGTCTCCGCCGACTCAGTATGGTGTACAGAATGGTGGCGGAGTTCACGATTCAACTTATGATGGTAAATTACAACATTTGATTAAGTAATTGGTTCATCTTTTCTTGATGGCCTTCATTTAAGATTTGAAGCGTTCCCATGCATTTTACCATCTTCAAATCCTTTTAAACTTACAATTCATAAATTTCACGTAATAATTATGGTAGGTTACACGCGATACAGCACATAAAGTAGATACTGTCCGTTGTATGACGCCTAGCATAATATTATTATTATCCAGTTATGACCTAGTGATCAGAATGTTCCGTTAACTTTTCTTGTTTTGAAAATCCCACTGTTCTCCATAGTATGCAACCACTCTTTATTTTAACATATTTGTGACGTTATGCTAAAGGCCTATTATTGAACCATTATTAACTTGCCTGTTATAGACCAACATAACTTCCCAGGTACGAAACAATGAATTCTGATCAGCATGACAATGAAACCAAAATATTACATTTTTAAACATTGAAATTTCCATACCAAGTTAAGTTGGTCTATTGCGGTAAACCTATACCCCTCTTTGTGAATGCCCTTTAATAATGTTTAGGATAAATTTCGTTTTTTGCAGACATTTTAGATGTAGTATCAAAGCCAATGCAGATTGGGAATAAAATAATTCCACCGTACCATCATGAAGCTCGTCAGAACGACCAAGCTCCGCCTTCAATTGAAGAAGCTGCAAAAGAATTTAAATTGGCTTCAGCAGGTATGGATACTCAATGATATCCAAAATTTGGAATAGTTAGCTGTGAGAGGATGCTGCTGCAATGAAATACGATTTTACACTTTGATTACAGAAAATACATATAAAAGTTCTCTAAATATTATTGAACAACATGCGCCATTTTCCTCGTCTAACGCCAATTTCGGAACTCTAACTTGGACCTAATGACTGGAATTTTAGTTTTACACCCATTTTCAAAACTGCGCGACCTACTCAAAAATAATTTCAGTTCAAATGTCAGTTTCATGTCACGCGAACCGCTAAAATAGCAAACGTGAACAAAAGACGCTGTTAACACCAAAAGAAGAATGTTGACCCAAAATGAGCTGGATATACAAACTAAAAGAAACAACAGATCATCACAACAAAAAATATGTGTTGTGAATTTAACGTCGAATTTAACTACATATCAAACCCACTTGCGCTAAAACTAAAATTACATTTATTTAGCAATTGACAACAGACATGACCGAAAGAAGAACCCTAAATAATCCACACTATTAAAACTGTCTTGTCTGTATTATTCTCTTGGTATTTTCCTTAAAGTTTTACACAAATTTTAGCTATTTTTGGACGCGGAACCAATAACCAGAAAATAAACGGAAAATAAAAATCTACAACTAATAAATTTTCACAATAAAATTGTTTCGTCCCGCCAATACAATGCAGCAAGGCTTTCTCTTTTGCGTTTCAGATATGAATAACATGGAACTGGCGTCACTGGTGATTTACCCAATCCCTCGACTCAATGATAAAGCTAAAGTTCACAAAAAGAAATCCAAAAGAAAACATAAGAAACATCATGATAAGGAAGTGAAAGCGAAGAAAAATCCCAAGGTGGAATATGAAGGGAAGACAGTAACTAATCTTGTGGATAATTTGATTAAAAATGAGAAGGTAGACAAGAGCGGGACACACGAGGACACTAAGGAGAAACAGAAAGTGGAAGCTCATAAAGAGGATGATCAAGGAATGAAAGAAGAAAAGGCGAAAAACGAAAATAAGAAGGAAAAAGAGAACGATACGGGAAGCAAACAAAAAGAAGATGACAAGAAAGAAGACGACAAGAAAGAAGATGACAAGAAAGAAGATGACAAGAAAGAAGATGACAAGAAAGAAGATGACAAGAAAGAAGATGACAAGAAAGAAGATGACAAGAAAGATAAGGATAATGAGGATGACGAAATGGATGATAAAGACTCAACATCAAAAGATAGTTGGGCTGAAGAAGAAGTTTCCACAAAAGGTGGAGAAGAATACACGTCAAGCAAACGATCTGAGATCCCCCATGCATTTGATGAAATATCCAACAGGTCAGATTTTTAGGAGTAATGAGAAAAAATTACGTTGAAGGTCCTTAATCACAATCATCACATCTTTCTTTTCTGATGGATTTTCCTGGAAAATTAATTTTCAGTAGAACTGGGGACAAACATACACTCTCATCTTCACGGTTTCTAGTTAAGCAACTGAATTTTAAATAAAATGCAATACCGTAGAATCCCGAATGTAGCGGCTCCCTTGAAAGTGGCATCGCCCTTGAAAGTAGGTAAATTTGAGTATTTTGAGAGGTTTAAAACTATTTCCGAAAGTACCTGCTTCTCCGAATGTTGCGCCCTTTGTAAGTAGCGAAACTTCTTAACTGTTTAAGATCACAGTTAGTAGAAGGAAATCGTATTAGCCATGCTAACCTATGAAGTATGAACCGTGTTAAAATTAAGAACATTAGGCCTAACAGCCGTGGATAGCGTATTCAGTCACCGCTTGATTAACCATGGAAGGGTTTATAAGTTACAAATATCAATATACCAAAGCTTCAGTGTATAAGTGTAAAAACGTTCAAAATCGAAATGGCATAAGAAAAGAAAGAAAATTAAATATGGTAAATAGGAAGGGGCAAAGAAAATTCTTTTATAGAATGTCAACTTACGTTTTCCCATCTTAAAGTAGATAGAGGCCCTCGCTATAAAACCGAAAGTACGTGAGAGGGGGGTGGCTACTTTTGGGATTCTACAGCCCAATGGAAACTCCGGATGATTTTTAAAAGTCGTGGTAATATATTTTCCAGCAAAGAAGAAGATGAATACACTTCAAATAAAAGATCTGAAATCCCACAGTCATTTGACGTAATATCCAACAGGTAGGATTTTGAATAGAGATAAAAAGAAACTTTATTGTTGGAGAAATAGAACATCTGAGGAGGTCACATTTAATTTCTTTCTCAGAAAAGGGTTATTGGTATGAAAAGTATATATTTTTGACAGTCTTTACCTGAAGATTCTGAACTCTATATGGATGATTAATATGAGGCTTCGGTGGCGCGGTCGTCAGAGCAAACGGCTGTCACCTCTGAGTTCGTGGGTTTGACACTCGCTACGGACTCATGTGAAAAGAGTCAGTCAACGCTCTGCCGAAAGTCGTGGGTTTTCTCCAAGTGCTCCGGTTTTCTCCCACAGGGAAAGTTGACAGGGTGGGTTGGGATAAACACAGTTAAGAAAGTAATATTACAGTTGTTGTAAAGATAACATAGTCTAGGCTAAGTATGTAATTAGGTAACCGTACAATAATACTTGATGTAAAGCGCATTTGATCATATCCACATCTAAATTTGCGTTATAGAAATGTTAATTGTAATCGTAATTGGTGGCTCCAGATGATTCCTGATGATAATGAATCGTCAGGAGCCACCAGATGTTTCCTCTTGGATAACACTGGCTGTAGAGACAACCATGATACTGTACACATATAGCACTACTGCTTTTAGTGATTAAAATGATCATAAATATTTTTATTCTCCCCAAGTAACGAAGATGATGAGGCAGGTAAAAGCGAGGTAAATAATGAAGAAACCGCAGAGACAAAGGATCATTCGGAGGAAGAAGATGATAATTCTTATGAAGGTGTGGAGAAAGACCAGGGGAGTGAAAGCAAAGGGGAAAATGACGAGGCAGAAAGTGATGAAATGGGGAAAAAATCAGAAAACGAGAAAGATGAAAGTCATCAAACTGATTAAAGCTGACGAATCAAGTTTAGCCGGTTCTGTGAAGATTAACAATGATAAATCTGCGTAGGGTGATTCTGTTATAACGCGAAATTTTCTTTCAAAATGTATACCAATTGAAATTGCTCGTTTTATTGAGATTGGAAAACCAGCAAGTCCGTTTTTCAACACAATATTTACAGGATTGTATCTTAAAAAGGGAAGCAATGAGTGCACTTGGACACGGCCCTTGAGAAGAACTGATTCTTTATTCTTGTTAGCAACTGATTTTATATATTATATAACGTGTATACAAAAGGATGATTTTTATAGCAATATATAGTCAGTACTGGTCGGTAAGGTTTTGATAATTAATTGATGATTTTTCGATACTTATATGTCAAAGAAATACTTTTTTTTCGCATTTTGTTCGGACAAAATACAGTTCGGGCTTGACACTAAATCCATTGAAGTCATTTCAGCTTATATTTCTAACTTTAGTATCGATAGGGAGGGTTTTCAACTTTTTGGGTAATTTTTGTGAGTTTGAAAATTGTCTTCACTCCTCGGTTTGCTTTAGTTTTCTTTAATTTAAGTTATTAAGCTTCAGGTACGTTTTTTAAGTGGGGGAGGGGGGGGGGGATTTTACGAGCTTTTATGGATACAAACAATCGACAATATTTAGAATAATGATAAGCTGGTAAGGATGGTTTTATTTATTTCTTCTGACGTTCATGAAGCCGTTGAGCTTTTTAGTGTTCCATATATATTACTAATACTATATCTGGTTTTGTAAAATCATTAAACGGATTCATGAAGAAAATTCAAAAGAAATCGATGTTTAAGTTGTATCCACATATACAAAATTTCCCCAATTTTTGTATAATCTTTTCCCGTTTTTCTCAGTTAAAATCACTTTTTAAAAATTGTTTCAAAATATAACTGTTTAAATCCTTGCGACCTTTAATTAATTAAAAAGGGTACCTATATTTATTAAGCCAGGATTCGAGGCAGAATTCGAGCCAGGACTCGACTCGGGACTCGAGCCAAAATGACGTTAGGTGATTTTGACGGATGGAAATTAGTCGGTATCAGTATTTACTGACATAATCCACCCCTGATAAATATTAACTACCACAACCATGCAAAATCCTAGACTTGCACACAAGTCGATCTCGAACCGCGAAAAAAAACCTGGGAAGGACTTTGGGGAAGTCTCACAAAATCCATGCATTTTTAAAATCTCCCCTCAACCGTGAAAGCGTGCGAGGAATGGTCGAATGGACATGTGATACGATGGCCGAGAAGGGCCATGACTGTAAACACTCGCCGCCTTTTTTACCATTACACTCGTCGTTTTTTTTCTTCAAAATTACACTCGCCGTTTTTTTCTTCAGAATTACACGCGACGTTTTTTCAATGCAATAATTACATGCGACCACGGTGCGACGTTTTTTCCAAAAATTACACTCGCCGTTTTTTTAGAGTTACGTTTTAAACTGAGGGTTTCACTTCGGATGAAGATGGGAGCAATCATAAGCCGATTAGTGTGTTTCATCAAAACAAAAAATCATGTAAATACAGTACAAAATTTCACTTTCATAAGTCGGTTAATTAATATGAATATATAATGCATTGTTTTCTTTTGTGTTTTCCAAACTATATAAACAAAAGCTTTGTGTGTTTTGCCAGGGTCATAGATTTATTTTCCTTGTTGCACTTCTTCATATATAAACTGTGTCTTTCCATATGGTATATACGCCTGCAGTGATACAACAAAATCAACAAGAAATAGTGGTTGTACATGTGTTACGGCATTATGTGAAGAGGTTATTTCGCTGGCCTCAGAGTGACAAAACGTAACAAAGCAACGGTTTTACTAACACTAACCCTATTCCAAACACCAACCAGTGCCATACACAGCGGGGAGGGAGGCAGGGGAAACAGCCCCCCAGAGAAAACTATATTTACGATTTTTCGAATGCCATATTAATTATTCTTTGCATATTTGGGACTTTTTCGGCATATAGGCCTACTGCCCCCTGGTGAGAAAATCCTGCATGCGTACGGCCCTGACACCAACTCTAACCCTAATCCTGTCCCTAACCTAACCGAAAAAAGTTTCGACGAAATGTCATTCTGAGGTCAGCGAAATAACTTCTTCCATGTGGCACTGGGATATACAGCAACGCTGAAATACACAAAGATATTGTTTAGTTTGGAAAACACAAAAGAAAACAATGCATTATATTCATATTAATTACCGACTGAAAGTGAAATTTTGTACTGTATTTACATGATTTTTTGTTTTGATGAAACACACTAACCTTATGATTGCTCCCATCTTCATCCGAAGTGAAACCCTCAGTTTAACAACGTAACTAAAAAATAACGGCGAGTGTAATTTTTGGAAAAAACGTCGCGTGTAATTATTGCATTGAAAAAACGTCGCGTGTAATTATTGCATTGAAAAAACGTCGCGTGTAATTATTGCATTAAAAAAACGTCGAGTGTAATTTTGAAGGAAAAAAGTGTAATGGTAAAAAAATGGCGAGTGTTTACAGTCATGGCCCTTCTCGGCCATCGTAATGTGATAATAACATGAAGTTGAACGCATCAAAGACGAAGGAGATGAGCATGCATGAACCTCTCGTCTAGTTCGCCCAAGAATCCACCAATTGTGATCAACAATCAAACGTTACGCATGCCAAGCTACTAGGCGTTAGCATCTCGAATGACTTGAAATGGAACTTACATGTAAATACCATCTGTAGGAAGGCTTCCAAACGTTTATACGCCCTGCGGCTGTTGAAAAGGAAGGAGTTTCCGGATTCCGTCCTGTGTTAGACCTATCCTTGAGTACGCATGCGAAGCGTGGCACAACAACCTCCCTGTGTACATTAGTAACCAAATAGAGCAGATCCAGAAAAGAGATCTCCGAATTATCTACCCTTTCTTTACTTAAAGGTCGAGCGATGCTTACCGCCAGAGTTCCATCGTTGCACGATCGCCGAAGCACCCTTTGTGAACGACTTTTCCACAGAATGCTTGATCCAGGTCACAAATTAAACTCGCTCGTTCCAGTTCTTAGGGTTAACGAACACAATCTACGCCATGATAGGTGATTTACGCTAAATAATAAAGCCTCCATCGACAACGGTAGCTAATTTTTGTATTCCCTCTCAAATAAAACAAAAGTTATTCTTAGTTATTAGTTGTTCCATGTGTTGAAAACTGTTATTGTTATTGACACGGAATTTTCCAGAACATTCTATAAATATCCAATATAAATATAATATCTCAGTCAAACAATGACAACAGTCAACAGGGAGCCCCCACACCAAATATGCCTATAAGGGTCCCTTCTTCCTACGTTACTCCACTGTTGTAACTTCTACTTTTAATATTCTTAAATCATGTGTAACTACATAGTCTACATATTTTTAGCTATATAGTATCTTACAGTTGTAAAACCAGTATAATTCAGCATTTACAACATGCATGAGCGGTCGTGTTGTGTTGGATATACAAACTCGAGCCGAAATAAATGGCTAAGTGAAACGTCTTGATGAGCACATTCGTATTCTTCAACATGCAGTTAAAATATATTAATGATATTTGGTGAGAAAATTGAACGTAAAGTTTAAATAATTATGTAAATCAGCATGTTTTCGTATCAGATATACAAACTCCATCACGGTCATGATTTCTTTTGGGTCTTGTCATGAATTATTAAAGAGTTTCACAACATTGTTTGTACACATACTGTATTCATAGTACAAAATTCAGTCCCTGATCTCTATAAACGTTTCCTCGATTTTCTCAGTTAAAATCACTTCTTTTTAAAAATTGTTTCAAAACACGACTGTTTAAATTCTTGCGTATATCTTACTCAACACGGCCGCTGGTATATATTAATATATATTGTTATAAGGTTATCAGTTAATTTCCATTGTGCTGTCAAATACATGCTGCTAAATAAACACAATCGTATCAAATAACAGTAATTAATCCCTAGAGATTCTTCTTCTTGTGTTTGTAAGTCCGAGTAGTCGAAGCAAACAGAAGACTGTCTCAAAGCTGATTGCATTTTAAAAACTGGGGGAGCAAGGCTAAAGGCAAGGTAAGGTTTATGCATCAATTGTTGCGTTCGTGAGTATTACGTGTTGCTCATTACTCGTTATCAGTGGAATGTATTTGACACGGAAGGGGAATTGGATTTCTCAAAGAGACAATAGGCAGAAGAATAACAATTAAAGATTCAACGCACTTGCTACTGTGATAAAAGCAAATTTTTTGTCAAAAGACAACCATTAAGGCCCCGTTTACACCATACCGGATTGCATCGGAGCGTAGCCATTTTCATACCGGATTCGGCTGCTGTTGACACTACGCCACAGTAATCCGGTACGCGATGCGGAGCAAAAATCACTCCGCTTTGGAGGTGATATGAAAAGTAATCCGGTATGTGCCGGAGCAGTGTAAACAGGCTAATCCGCTATTGTTTGTTTCGCCTTACAACTATTTACTATTTCTGCTGAATACAAATAAAGAAAACGATAATAACACTGACTTTTCGCTTTCGAAAGAGCAAAATTTAAAGAAATACTCGTCAATTTTGGATTAAAGCGAAACGAAGCAACGTCTGGTGGTCAAGCTTTTTAAACAAAGCTATACTTTACAAAAAAAATGGGTGTTACTTCTTGTTTTTAATAAATTTTGGTATATTGGCTACTTGTTTCCATGGCGACAGTGAAAGACATTGGCTGGCAACAGAGCGAAGCGGCATAGTGTAAACTCCCTTGTTTTTTTACTTCGGAGTAAAAATTAATCCGGTATGAGAAGTAATCCGGTATAGTGTAAACGGGGTCTAAACAACCATTGGTTTCGCCCTAAATACGATCTGACAGTGACTCATGTAAAGATCACATAAAGATGCCACATGCCAGTAAGGTGCGGAAAGCCTGTTCGTGAACTGCAATCTTGGAAAAAATATCTGTAGACTTTTCGAAATATACACCCAAATTTGAAAAAATATGGTGAAGACATGAGCATTTTTCAATTGAAGCAACTATTTACCTTAATTCCCCCCTCCCCTTCCCCCAGAAACAACGTTGGTTCAGGTAAAGTGGATTTGCAACACATGTCACCTAAATACCAACATTGTATAAGGGGGGAGGGGATCAAAGTTTGAAAATTTAAGAAGTCTACTAATTTTTTCCAGGATTGTGGTGCAGGGACCGCGGAGCCTGTTTAAAACTGGGGGGGGGACCAGGATAGTACAGGAGCTATTCCACGCAGGCAGGCTGGATTTTATCCGGTAATTTTGTATTATCCACCGAAAAAGTGGGGGGGGGCATGGTCCCCCTGGCCCCCTGTTCCGAGGTTCCTGTGGTGTCACAGCGGATACTGTTCCCGAAATGTGTCCTCCCGGACCGCACTATCCGCTGGCGGGAACTTCCCCCCTCGCAAACTATGCGACTACATTCATGAGTAGAATGAGAAGTTTTACAAATATGTTGGTTCAATTTTTAACTTGGAAATTCTTGGAATGCTTGTAATTAAAACCAATTCCAAGGCCAAGGGCTCTCTCCTCCGCAGAGGTTTCAATGAGCTTTCCATGGCGCTTTACATGACGCTTACCGTATTGAACCGCTGTGTGGAATTAACTATGGTGGAAGACGCGCAGGCGAAAAAAGCACAGTACGGAAACCTCTGCGGAGGAGAGAGGGCCAAGGGCACAACAAAGGCCAATGGAATCCGTAAATAGATATTGAATTAAATTCGAATAAACGTCCGGGTACTTCCCTACTTTTTGGAAAATATCGAAATATCGACTGTGGTTCCGACCGGTCGAATTGGCGAACTTGGAAGTTTCGGTTTGCAAATTTTATCTGATAAATAAAAAACCCGAGATCAAAATTTATTAATGGAAAACAAATGGTCAGGAATAAACGTTTCGGACGACAAAATCTGATAAATATTGTTAACGAATTCGTGGTAGAGACAGAGTGGGCAAGTTGTTGTATAATTGTCCGACTACGGAAACCAACGAGCTTTGGCTATTTGTCCGTAAATTAATTTGATTGGTTCATCTAAATGGCAAGTGGTTGTTTCACAAAATAAAATCGAAACCTTAACCGCACCTAACCCATTCCATAACCCTAACCCTAACTCACTAAGCCACCTGTTCGCAGGTCGATCCACAGAGCTAGCTCACCGAGCTATCTAACACCTGCTGTGCATAAATGAAGCCAATTGCGGCCATATTGGATGGCCCCACCTTTAATCTAATCTGGTATTGTGGACATGTTTAATTCCTTTTTTACGTTTCTAATCACTAGTGGGAAAGGACGAATATTGCGTATAGATAAGAATTTATCACCAGTAGCATCTTTTCCCCCCTAAATTTGCCGGTGTACGTATTAATTACTACTGCGCCATCAAATATGGCCGCCATAAGCTTCATTATGTTGTCCATAAAACGTTCTAAAACTAGTTCGAAGCGGTTTTGGAAGCTATATTTCACAAGTCACATAGGCGAAGATATTTGCTTTATAGTCTAACTGAACTTAAACAGCAAGCGATTAGACTTGGCATGAATTTGACTGATTTATACTGAATCTTATCTTATTAAAATATTCCGGCTTCAAAATCGGATTACTGAATTCAATAGGACGTTTTATCCAGTTTTATTTCAGATCAGTGGTTTTTTCAAATCATGATTCGGGTGTATCATATCTGACTCATCATGCAAACATAGTCAGGCGGCTACAGGACAAAAATTAATGAAAACTTATCATATTGAGGGACAATTCCATTTTGCCTACATCTTGTGTCTTTAAGGCTGGTAAGTACATTTCTGTATGTTGGCATCGTTCAAATGTCTTGTGGGCTCACCTACCAACACGTTTTTCTTCGATTTTCCTATTAATTAAACTCCTATGTTGTTAAAAACGTGAAATTTCAGGTTCATTTACAGAAAAAATAACTTGCAGCATTAGAAAGCTTACAAAAAAATACAGATAAGACACTTAAACGGTTACCTTCATTTTTCAAGTTCTTCTTGAGTTATGAGTTTTTGCCAGCATATTTTCCGACTAGTGCCCAGGATTTATGTGCGCTTTTTTTCACACTTTGGAATAGCAGTAACTCGAACACCGTTTGAAAAGTCAAGGTAACCGTTTAAGTGTCTTATATGAAGTTTTTTGTAAGCTTTCTAATGCTGCAAGTTATTTTTTCTACAAACTGATGAACCTGAAATTTCACGTTTTTAACAATATAGGAGTTTAATAAGAAAATCGAAGAAAAACGTGTTGGCAGGAGCCCACAAGACATTTGAACGATGCCAACATACAGAAATGTACTTACCAGCCTTAAAAATACAAGATGAAGGCAAAATAGAATTGTCCCCTGATCGGGTGAGTTTTTTCCTCCTATTGTATCGGCTATCCTGTATCCATATCTCCGGGAGCGCATAACGTTTGAATCACTGAAAAGCCTGTATAGCAGTAAAGAAGCGCATTAACAGCGCAGTTTCGTCGAAATTAAGCTTAATGATATCAATAAATCTACAAGTTTATACGAAAACAACATAAATAACTAATAACATGCAGTTATTACGTTACACAGAAGTGCGCAAATGGCGCAAGTCATTTTCTATTATTAGAGAGCTTAAGAAGATCAGCTAGTGTCAGTTGAAAACAAATAGGAGCTCTTTGCAAAATTAGACCTCAGAAAATAGAAATTTTCACGTTGTTTATCGAACTTTTGTGTTTTTATTTGTGTACTCACATATGGCGTGCCGAATTCACGCGGGCTCGTATTTGCGCTGATCAATGTTTAAATCGGCACAGTTTTTAGCCAATCAGAATCGAGTAAATTGACTAAAATAATATTAGAACTGATTTTAAAATTACGTTAGCATGTTTGACAAGTAAAGGTGAACGTGCCCTTTTTTGAGATTCTGCCCTCGCTGCTCTGTGCGTCTTCCGGCGCAAAAACTCATAGACAAAGAAGATGAGAGTGCACGAGAGTCCGATTATATAGAGTTGTTGGCCAAGCGCGAGCACGTTGCAACATATCTTTCAACTCTCATCTTTGTTTGATTGGGGCTTTGGTAGCAAATTAGCAAGTTTCACAACGCAACTGGATTTATAGAATTCTCAGAAACGGTTAAACAAATGTAACTGAATTTTACTTTATTTCCATTTAACAAGATCTTTAACATGCATTTCAGAAAAGCAGCGATTATTAATTCATTATTAATAATTAATGACGAAAACAAAAGCAAATCATGCCAGTGAAAGAGTTCTATACAAAAAACAGTTTATATTACTCACAAGAGATTATTGAAGAATACGAACAACGTTTTCACATTTTCTTATTCTACATTTTCTTCTCAGAATGACACTCACAATAGATGAAATTTTGGAGAGAATTGGTGGCCATGGCCGCTTTCAAACGATATTGTTGTTGTGTATGACATACATTTACATGTCTATGGTTGCTTTTCATCTGATGGTGATAGCCTTTATAGCTGGAGAACCTTTCTGGGAGTGTGCTCAAAATAGTACAATGTGTAATCTTACTGAAGCAGTGAGTACAGTCAGTGAGCATTACAAGGAAAGATGTAATATGCCACGATCTGAATGGAAATTCGTTGATACTTATACTTCTACAGTTACCGAGGTATAAGATGTATATGATTTTTGTAAACTCGTGCATGAAAAATAGATTAATAAGCCACTCATGAATAATTAATGACCTGTAGTGAGCCAAATTTTAGTCATCTTGAAATCTTAGTCATCTTGAACAGCTTTTAAAAGACAAGAAAGGTATCATAGAAAAGCTAAATAACAGCTCTATCGTCCTATGTAAAAACTGAATTGTTTAGCTAAGTTTGTGATGCACGACAGCCTGTTTAATTTCCATAGCGCTTTTTTAGACACCCTGTATATCTTGCAAACCCCCATACAAATGAAGTAATTCAATTATATGCAAACTACTTTCAGACACCTAGTGGTTGTAATTGTTTATTACGAGTGATGTGACTAGTATGCATATGAGTTGATCATTAGGTTGTGCTTGAGGTTCATATCATACCCTGGAAACTAGTCAGAGTCATAAGGATACGACTCATGCCTTCGAGTAGCGTCTCGTAACTGACTGTCTTTTGATTGGATAGTGACATGAATAATCGTCTTTGATTGGCTATTACAAAAAGCGTTCCGTAATATTAAGTACATGTGATTGGTTGTTAATGTTTGTTTAAAAAATGTACGTGTTTTACGATTCGAGTCTTTTATGAAAAATGCATTTTCGTTCTTCAAATACGTAGAAAAAACTATAGGGGCTGAGGGAGAGGGGTGACGGGTGATATAAAGGACTAGGACATGAATATTTTTCAAACTGAGAAGAACGATTTTCTATTTTCTATTTTCTATTTTCTGACAAACAGTGGTTCTTACAGCGCGCCAAAACAGAATAGAGAGCTTAACTAAACGAAGTCATGTCTTGACAGTTGATTCACGAACGCCGATCGGAAGTCAATCGAGCTATGTTACAGATGGCGAGCCGCTCTCGTTTGAAATCACGAACTCGAAACTGCATATATTGACTTCTTCTGTTCTCGATTTCAAAGATTTCAATCACGACCCTGATATCATTATTTTTTATCAAAAACGTCCCTTGCTTAAGCTTTCTAATAACAGATCACACACTCGGTAGTAACCCCAATGTAGTAACCCTTTATTTTATCTATATTAATTTCCAGTCCTACATTTGCAACTTTCTCTGTATGTTTGCACGTGTAGTCTACCTAGATCAATTCTCTATTTACATTAATGCATGTACATGTCCTTACTTGATTAACTGTTCCGAAAGCACATCAGTTTAATAATACTGTAAGTTACATACCTTAAATATACCAACAATCTTTTCTGATAAAAGTAAATAAGTAATCAGTATTGAAAAATTAATATATGAAAAACTAAATATCTGACAGAAGTCACAACTCACAACTAAGCTGTTTAATATAAAACATTGTGCCCTTCCAACTTTAGGTTTGTTTCGACACTTCAAAGCATTTTAATTTAAATTTTTGAATTTTTGTAGTATGACCTTATATGTGAAGACTCTATCCTTCAAAGTGTCGCGTCTTCGTTGTTCTGGGTTGGATGGTTTGTTGGTAATATCTTGATGGGGTATATGTCAGATAAGCTTGGACGCAAGAAAGCAAATCAACTGTCAGTCACTCTTGTGTTTTTTTCTTCTTGGATATTAATTTGGCCAAAGGGACTCTGGGTTTTCATGGTATGTCGTTTCGTCACTGGAATTGGAAGTGGTAAGTCGTCCAGTAATCTTGTGTACGAGATCCCTGTCAGTTCTCAGGCCGGTATACTCTCTCTCATCCCCCTTATCTTCGAGCAATGCCTTATCTTCAAGCCAGAGTATCAAGCTCTATTTTACAAACTTTAATCCAGTCGCTCTCCACCCATAGATTGTTGAACAACAACAATCTGATTATAGTTAAAACTGCTAATAATGGTATAATCTAATTGCCACTATAACCAATCCAGATCGATCGGGGGAGGGGGTAAATCCGGGTTACGTTTCTTAGTTTAAACCAGGCTATATAATTTGGATTACCTGATCTTACTATTTAGGAGGAGCATGTATGTGTGCTTTTATCATTGTCGTGGAATTCAGCCCCAGTAGACGACGTGGGACGGTGGGATCCGCTATATGGCTATCGGGACCAATCGTTTATTCAATGATGGCGCTGTTTGCGTATTTGATTCGTGACTGGAGATATCTCATGCTTCTTGGTGCAATGTTGGGCATTCCTGTCATGATTTTCATTTGGTGAGTTTTACCTCTTGGACAGCTTCACCATGGTGAGGATGTGAATGGGTTGACTGACCACTAGCATTTGTCCGCCGTCTGTATGACTGAAAACTGACTTAATAGTAATTTGGGAATTTCACATTTCTTTAAAATTTTATGGACAGTTGACAATTGGATTGAAATTTAGAGACTCCCAAATACCGCTATCAAAACCCAAACAATGATTATAGAGGTGTGATTCTATTATACAGTATCACAGTCCACGTTCTTACTGTAGAAACGATAGGTCATTTATATTTGGTATCGATTAGAATAGATCATAATTGGAGGCGTACAATATACTGGCTTAATTATTTCAAATATAATTTTGTTCAACATGGAAAATATAGATATAATCGAGTCGACTACTACACTGTAAATTTCAGGGAGTTAATTTAACTCCAGTGGTATTATTCTGAACCTAATTTTACTCCACATTTGGAGTTAATTGAGGTACAGTATAACTCCACCAGAGTTAACTCCCTGAAATTAACAGTGTAGGCCTATATTTAATTTCGTATACCATTTGCATAGTACCATTGATACAATTGGCTAACATTTGTCTATATCCAGTTCACAACTTTGGATAACTTACATGCATGTCTATAACTTACAAGGCTTTACTTTGGATAACTTATATGTGATAAAACACTCCTACGCGTGCTTTAAATAGTACTTAAAGTATAGTATTGGCAACGATATAAACAAACGTTAGTCGTTAGATGATTCTGTCTATTTCCTTTGCAATACAGGTTTATTCCTGAAACACCGCGGCACCTGTTGGTTCATGGGAAACACGACGAAGCTCGAGCAGTCCTAGAGAGTATAGCGAAGTGGAACAAAAAAGAGATGCCCCAGGATGACATTTATGTACCAAAGCAAGCTGACGGTGAAAAAGCTGATTTTAGAGATTTGTTTTATAACAAATCAGTTACTTTAATCACTTTAGTAACGTGGTTTTCATGGTAAGGACAGTAATGACATTTTGGCGTTTGGATCAACCTCGTTCCCAAAGAATTCAGCAGTTGCATTTGCTTATGAGAGGGCAGGAGAGATCAAATTTTCGATAATTATTCCATTTTAAACAGCGATGAGCAAAAGTGAAAAGTGAGAAAAAGCAAATAAGAGACATGCATTGGATTATCATAAGCCGCTCACAGCTCACTAACATCACGATCTTAAAATTCAGTTCAACATCTAGCTTGCATTGCTTTGCAGTAAAAGCGATGAAATTAACCTTTTTTTAAAAGATTTAACTTTGTTATTGACTGCTATCGACATACAGCTATTTCAATTAAGGTTGTCCCCGAGCAAAGCGGAAAAGTCGAATACGAGCGCGAAAGGCTGCTGGGAATCGCTAAAATATTCACTAATTTTTTGGCGATTCCCGGCAAGCCTTTCGCGCTCGTATTCGACTTTTCCGCTTTGCTCGGGGACAACCTTACTTGAAATAGCTGTATACGTGTTCGACCTTATCTCGTGTAGCCGTACTTTTCTGTTCCTTTTCAGGCGATTTGTATAGGTAATCGCATGGGGCCGTGTAAAATTAAGGTTTAATTTCACGCGTCGGTATTCTTAAAGTTTCACAAATTGTGAAAATTTAAAACACAAGTGAAATTAAACCTTAAATTTGCGAGGAACTATGCGATTACTTGTTAATCATAGAAGGCAAAATTTATTCGTAAGTTAATTGTGAAATTGTCAAGTTCTTGAACCTGGTATATGTCTCCATGTCTTCGCCGATGTTCCTTATTATAATGCTGCCCATTTCTTAAATACTCCAACCAATAAATTTGTATTTTTTCTAGTGTCCATGTTTTCACTAGAAGTTTTTAATTCTTCAATAACATCACTATCCGCGACGACAACGCGAAAACCATTGTTTTTATGTACTATTTAAAACACGAAACTTCTCGCGCTTGCGTCTCAGCCAATCAGGTACAAGTATTTTTGCCCTGAATTAACAAAAAATTCCCTCCTCATTAGCCAATCATATTTCAGTAATTTTGCCCTCTATATGATTAATACCACAATCCGTGGTAGTATTAAAATCTATTGTTCATTTGTTGATTCATTTTTTCTAGGTTTACAATCTCCTTGATGTTTTATGCAGTTTCATACAATGCTGTATATCTGGGTGGCAATATCTATCTTAGCTTTTTTCTCACCAATATCGTTCTAACTCCTGCAAATGTATCAACGATTGTGGCAATAAAAAAGTAACTAAATTTAGACTCTTATTTTACATTTATCATTTATGCTAATTTTAAGAAATCTTACAAGAACTACACTTAAAAGTCAGACGGATGGGCGATTAATCCAATCAGCATCTTTATATATATTTACAGTCGGACAAATATATCTCAAACTCATTAATAATTCATGAGTAAATTAGCCAACCATATTGCTTTATTTTGCTCACATGATAACACTGGATACCTGTTGAGGTGCTGATTGACGTGAAATAGATTAGTCCTGTCCTCGTAGTCGGACTTGAACCGGTCTGCAACGTTTTAGCTGGCAATGAGAATCAGATTATCAGATGGGTTCCACGACGTAAGGGGCGGACCACTAGAAATCCCGGGAGGGGGGGGGGGTGAAAATTCCCCCCAAAAAATTCGTGCAAAGAAAAATGCCTGGAAAAAAATTCGTGCAGCCATTACGTCAGAGAAAAAAATTCGTGCAGGCAAACAGCAAAGTACAAATAGTCTTGAAAAAAAATTCGTGCAGAGGTTAAATGCATTAAAAAAAATTCCTGCAGAGACATGAGACTGAATAAAAATTGTGCTGCAAAAATTTTATACTCCCCCTCCCGGGATTTCTAATGGTCCGCCCCTTAACGATTGAGAAACAGCTAGACGAAATATTTGCATTAACCTAAAATTGGAATGCTCAAGTATCCAAAATTCATGCAAAAAAGTTTCATTTCATATCCAAGCCCTCATTGTCTATAACAATATAAAACCGTTACACCTCAGTCAGTCAACTATCTTCAGAGTGAATTTATTATTTTTCTTTATAGACTTGGTCGTAAGAGGGCCATTATTATTGGTCTACTTCTTGCTGCCGTTTCCACTGTGATTACTGTCTCAATTCCTGCTGACAGAACTAATGCAGGTAAATCCTACGAGGCAATTCTTCACCGTTGAGGGGTGGCCGTATGCCCGTATCAGAAAACAATAGCGAACTTATAAGCAAGGCCTAATCTAGTACGGGGACGTGGCAAGAAACAGCCTTAAATTTTACACTTTCATAAATATAAAGAACTATTATAATAGTCTATACCGTTATTAATTAAGAACCTCGACAAGACGGACGAAAGTGCAACGAACACGGCTATTGAATTCATATTAATAGAAGAAAATGAACAGAAAGGAACAATTAAAATCCCACGGGAGTTTTAGACGTCGCCGTTGCTCTGTTTACAACAACAAGTCTTGTATACAACGCTTATATTTCAAACTGGGATCACTGCTACTTTGAAGTGGATCCTAGAACTTTTCTTAATCATCAACACTTTGTTAACGTTGATTCTTAAACTGTAAACCCGGAACCCCCAATCAGTGGCGTGCTGGGTACTATTTTTCTGGAGGGGCCAGTGGGCTGTCAACCAATATGCGCCCCTATAATGTTACGCTTTATAAACGAGGGCCGAAGGCACGAGCCGAGCGCCGCAGGTGCGAGGTTTGTCTAGGGGGGTCCGGGGGCATGGCCCCCAGAAACATTTTTCAATTTAGAGTCTCTGAAATGCCATTTCCTGGACTTTTCCATTTGACAGAAATCTGATGGTCAGGGAACGGATTATAACGTGTCGAATTTGCAATTTGGTTAGAATTTAGTAGTAGTACTTAAATTATGCAATGCTAACTACTTCCACCGATTAATCTAATCCCAATTCTATTTTCTACTGATCTAGTGTTCTGAATACATTTACAACTTACAGCTCTTTTATACAATAACACGGACCCCACGCATATGCATTTTAAGGTTTCCTTGCCTGGCTGCCAAAAGGGCGTGTTTCAGCATATTTCATTACTTACATTACTCATGATGTTTCTTGCGCAAACAAACAAATTGCGTACACAATTTTGCATAATAATATAAGGGCATAATACCAGCAAAAAAGGGCATAATTCCCGTGATCACTTCGAAACCTGACCAATATTCCGGTAATGAGACATTGCCTGTGATCACTTAGCCTGCGAACAGGCTCTCAAGCTGAATTGAGAGCCTGCATCGATGACTAATGAATTTGAATATCTGCGTCTCAAATCGTGACGCGAAATTCTCATTGGTCAGATGCTATAATTTATATTATTCCGCTGAGCTCTATATATGTCAACTGTTGAAACACTATGCATAAAAAACACATTAACTGATCAAATTGGTCTTGGCCATCTTATTTCAAAGCACGAAATGTTCTGTTTTGAGAAAACAGTATTTAAAACATTTGAACTTTTGCTTGAATATCTTATATTTCGAAAAACAGTATAAACTGTACGGTCTAAATTTAGTTTGCACGGTCTAAATTTAGTTTGCACGGTCTAAATTTAGTTTGCACGAAAGTTGTTAACAACACCATATAAGGATAGACATTCCATATTTGGAAAAACGAACGTTACGGGGCAGATATTCAAATTCATTAGTCATCGATGCAGGCTCTCAATTCAGCTTGAGAGCCTGTTCGCAGGCTAGTGATCACTGATCATGTTTCTCTATGAACGATTTTGTGTGAGCTGTGAGGTAGCAAATTAGGAAATACGGTTAGACAAAATAGTCTGTAATTTAATATGTGTGACTTTGTCGCCTGTGCGCTTAGTCTGTTTATAAGCACATCTTTTCTTGGCGGAAGTAACTATATTTTTTCGAATGCGTTTTTCCCACCCACTTTCAAAATTCGGCGCCCCCTTTTAATTTTTGCGCCCCCCAAGAATTGCCAGCTGGGGGGGCCGTGGCCCCCCCCCCCCCCCCCCCCCCCCCCCCCCCCCCCCCCCCCCCCCCCCCCCCCCCCCCCACGCACACACTTTTCTTCAGGGCCAATTTTGTGGACATCAATTTATTTGATGGGACCAATTCTGTCAGCTTTTATCCTTTCTTTTTGCTCTGTGGAATGTTTATTTGACAGATATTTATTCTTTCTTTTAGGTTTTTCAGCTGGAAGAATAATCACTGCGATGGTTGCAAAAGGATCAATCTATGTTTCATTCATTGGTATCTATGTGCAAGGAGCTGAAGTATTTCCAACGACTGTGAGGTTAATGACATTATATAATAATAATCTGAGTTCAATTCTTCGGTTCGAGAGACATTACCTCAGTGGCATAACGGCGGAAGAGGGGGCCTTAGGCATATTTGGTGTGGGGGCCCCTGTTGACTGTTGTCATTGTTTGACTGAGATATTATATTTATATTTGCTGTATATTGAATATTGATAGAATATTCTGGAAAATTCCGTGTCTATAACAATAACAGTCTCCAACACATGTAACAACTAATAAGAATATATTTTGTTTTATTGTTGAGGTGGAATAAAAAATCCGCTACCGTTGTCGATGGACGTTTTATTATTTAGTATTAATTTTGCATTTTCCCATTGATTCTAACCGGCATTTTTTACGTTTTCTAATTTTCTGGGCGATAGGCCGTGGCTGATGCGGCCCCCTAACTGGCCCTTAGTTTTTGAACTAACCCTACCCAATGAGCGTTACGCCACTGCATGATCTGTCAGAGGACGGACGATAGGATGACTTCATTTTAGTGACGTAACATCTTTAAACCAATGACAGCTCTCTCAGAAACATCACGAACCAACGACTCGCCCCGACAGCAACCCGACGGCTCTGCCCCGACGGCTTGTGGGCTACCTTTTAGTTCCTACCACGTTATGACGTCATAGTGTGTGTCTATTACTGAAAAGGAAACGGAAAAAGTGTTTTCTATTTGTTAATTACAATTACATTTGCCGGATGTTTTGACTGACAACAGACAAAATAGCTGACAAATTTTGACAAACTATTAAACAGGAATATGCAACTGGAACTATGGCATCTTATATAGTATTTTACTGGCTAGAATTATATCTAATGAATGACTTCCACTTAACTCAAAAGCTTGTTGTCTTATTATTTAGAACTTATCAGACTTTTCCAATGACTTCTATGAACAAATGAATGAAAAAATATTTAATTAGGATAAGTGTCTTACAGAAGGTTGCTCTTGCTCTATCACGTTCAGGCACGTCCTGTTCTCTACCTTCTTCTTGGGTCTTTTCGTCAATGACAATGCTATAATTTGTTCCATGCTTTATGTAGAAATATCGCCATGGGAACGTCTTCTGCGTGTGCTCGTATAGGATCCTTCATTGCTCTATACATAATTTGGCTGGTAAGTAAGATTATTACAATATACAGTACAGTGGGTCTCTGAAGTGGCAAGTTTCACTAACGACTATCGTGTGTACAGCTGTACAGCCAGAAATCTCACAGACCTGTCGCAAATTGTTGATTTTACCGGCTTGCGGCAAGTTGTCAACAAGTCGCGACAGGTCTGTTGGTTTCGTCAGGCGGCAACAGACTTGCGGGAACAGGTCTGTCGCAAGCTGTTGACGACAGAGCCGTAGCGACTTGTTGAAACAACCCACTACAAACCTGTTACTGGTCTGATAGAACAACTTACAGCAAGTCTGATGAAATCAACAGGTTGTTACAACTTCTTTCCAACAGACCTGTGCGAGTTGTTATTGTCAAGTCTGCAGCAAGCTTGTTATCAGACCTGCGCCAAACTTGTCCACAACAAACGAAAATGAAACAAATCGAAAAGAGAAAAATCGCACGAAATGGACGCTTCCGCGGGCTTCACTTTCTCATTCGATCATTGCATTTGCAATATTAAATGCAAAACAGCAAAAGCCGCTGTTTTATTTTTAAAAAATAGTTTCGATTTCCAAAAAAAAAAGCTATGTTTGTGTTAGTTTGGGGTAATCTTCAATACATATGACAAAACATAAGGTTTTTAAAGTTTTTTTGCTTCGTTACATCAGCGCTATGATACAAAATGCCTCCAATATTATAGTGATACTAATTTTCGGGTGACGTCCGTAGTGACAAAAACGTTGCTTGCCTAAGCTCACTATTGAAGCTTTGTGTATGTACTGTTTTAAAGAAAAATATGTAAGTATACGGTTGTCATATTTCGGTCATACTTAAAGACCAATTAATTTTGAAAATTGTTTACAATAAAGAACCTTTCTTTGACTTTGTCGTATTTTTTCGGCTGTTTTGCTCAAAAATTATCTCGCAAGTTTGTATATAAAACTTAAAAGTCTTGTTATTTTATGAAACACTACAACCGAAATATGGCAACCTGTTTGGCCGTTTTTTCACTTTTTTGTTCAAAATAGTGGATGCACGAAGCCTCATAAGGCGCTTTCCTCGGTTCACAACGCTCAACGGGTCTGTTGCAAGTTGTTGAAAACAACATTGGCATTGCTGCAGCTGAGCAACAGGTCTGTCGACTGTCGCAGTTGTTGACACAGAGCTGCAGCAGCTCTGTGTCAACAACTGCGACAGTCGACAGACCTGTTGAAAACAACATTGCTGCAGCTCTGCGGTGTCAACAACTTGCGACAAGCCTGTTGAAAACAGCATTGCTGCAGCTCTGTCACAACAGTTTGTAACAGACCTGTTGACATGCCGTTGCGGACCTGTCAGGACAGACAGGTACAAGGCGAGCGAACGCATCCAGATATCGGCTTGTTGACAACAAGTTGTAACAGACCTGCTGCAGATCTGTTCCAACTTGCGCGGAATTGGCTGTGTAGTAGTCTTAATTTTATTTATTGACAAGAAAATAAAGAGATATTTATGATGGACTTTCTTCTTCTCCCAGTACGAACTTGCCCGAGATCCTGATATTCCAACTTGCGTGGAGTTTGCCGGATTTATATTAAAACAATGAAAATGAGTGCATATTTATGTAAAGTTTAAGAGCCAATTAGGGACCGCTAATTATTTATTGTACAGGGGGGAGGATTGAGGAGAAACTGGGGGGCTTTAAATTTTTTAAAGCCTGAAAGGGGGGGCTTTGAAAAAATACAGAGAGACGAAAGAAGGGGGGCTTTGAAAATATTTACCAGTTTGAAAAAAACATTAGTAGTTTTAAAAATGTATCACAAAACAACTTAACAACAAATAATATAGACCTAATATTCATAAATGGAAGCCAAGTCTCTTATGTTCATGTAAATAGACAATTCCTATTATAGACTAATTTTAGAACTAGGCAAAGAGATGCAAATCAAGGCCGAATTTTGGTGAAAATAGTGGGGGCGGTGGAAAAAAATTTTAGGGGAGGTGCAGCGGTCTAGCTCACAACCCCATGGAAAGTTAGGGCTTATTGTAGAACAGGCCGATATCAACAAGGTGAGGTGTGCATGTAGTGTACATATGTACCAGTGTATTAATGAATTATGAATGTATAACTCCAATCTTGCCCTTCATTGCAATTGCTACAAAGTTTCTTTCAAAACATTGCATTAAAAGTGTACTTGACACAGAGATGAATGGCTATCACTGTTTCAATTTTACAGAGAAAACTTTCTTATGTCACGGAGTGTAGATCCTAAGCAACCATCACATTTTCACTTTGTTCCATCATTGAAACTTTCCCAAGGGGAAGTGCATGACCTTTCAAGAGAGGTGGAAAAATTCTCAGGGGAGGTGCGCACCTCTCCACACTTCCCTCAAAATCCGGCCTTGATGCAAATAAATCCCCACAGCTAGAAAGAGCATACTAGAATAAGCAAATTATTGCAAAGTTTGGTTGCAAATTGTTGCAAAATACGGAAAATATAGCCTTGCAAAGTTTGCAAATTTTGTACACTTTTGTATTGCATGCGAAAATTGCAATTATACAAAAGAATACAAAATTTGCAAACTTTGGAAGGCTATATTTTCTACATATTTGACAACATTTTGCAACCAAACTTTGGAATTTTAGTAATTTTAGTATGCCCTTCCCGGGAATATACTTTTTTTGCTAAGATAAAAATTAGTCTATAATGGGAATGTCTATTGGTCCCCATTACCTATTTTTCTTTCTCTAAAATAAACAGCTAGAGTTTTTGTTTCTCTAAATAAAGATAAAGAGCTAGAGGGGGGGGGGCAAAACTTATGTTCTTGTTTTGCTTGTTGGGGGGGGGGCTTTGAAAATTTTACTTGTCTTAAGAGGGGGGCAACGAAAAAATATTATAACTGTGGAGTTTCTCCTCAGTCACCCTCTGTACAATAAATAATGAGCAGTCCCTTATTGACATTGTATTCCCAAAATGAGACAATTTTTTCTACATATACAAACTTAACTTTTCTTCTAATTCTAGCAACGTATCCATCGTTATGTGCCTTATGTCATCCTCGGTCTCTTGTGTTTAATATCTGGAATCACATGCCATATATGGATTCCTGAAACGAAGGAAGCAACAACACTGGAAGTCTTTCCTGCTAAGTCTGAAGAAGGTCAGGACAAGGACAACCATCCTCAGGCACATGAAAACCAAGTGGCAATCAGTTAGATTAAATAGTGGATTTTATATTATGCATTGTGATTGTATTATTATTGGGATGTTTATGTAATATTTCAAATCAGAAAATGTAGACTGGACAGAATTATATAGAGCTTTCTAAATGGCAGGATTTCACACGCAGAAACTATGAAATTTTGTTCATTTCACATTTCAGGCAGCAAAATGTGACACCTTCGATTCTATAATCCCCCTAGCGGCTAGCCATGATATATACTCAATCATTACTTAAAGTGAATTGATCATGAATAAATTTTGATGCAGTCCTAGAAATGAATTAATTCTTGATGCAGTGCTGGAAATGAATTAAGTTTTGATCCAGTCCTAGATTTTGATGCAGTCTTGAGAGTCGAGACTGATCAGTTAATTTTCATCCAGTCCTAGACTTACCACAGCCTACGGCCCCAGGCTCTCTCTCGCGCGCTTGCTATGCTTGGTTCATAGGGGTACGAAGGGGAACTTGTGGTGGGAGAGGGGTAGCTGTGGGGAAGAGACGGCGCGGTGACGTCACAACTAACTGACGTCATACCTAAGCTAGTTTTATCGACCGTTTCGTAATTTCGTTGCTCCTGCAGAACGGCTAGGGACTAGGCTGGACTTACCATATCCAGTATTTTGTAAACTGGCTTAATGTGACTCTGTGAAGGAGATCTAGAGGGGTTGGCTAATTTCCTCAAGACCGTATATTATAATGCTCTACATGAGAGTATATTAATACTCTACACGTATATTAATACTCAACATACTCTACATGAGCGAGTGTGTTGCATGCAGTCGAAACAACATGGACCAAACACTCGTAAAGAAGGGTAGTAAAGGGGGGGGGGGATGTGTGTCACATTTCATGGCACAAAAATCCGTCATTTCACATTTCACGAGAACAAACTGATTGGCAATTCACGGCTCTATCCACCTAGCCTCCACTTCGGTGAATAATTGTTAATTATATATTACGCGTAGATACTGCATATTGTTACATTCAACCTCATCATACAAAACGTCAAAATTTCGAAGAGGAATTATTAACCAAAAGGGAAGAGCTGGGCATTGCTCAGCGAGTGTACCGGGACTGTAAAAACGTTTGCTACCATTTCTCTATTTCTCCTCCGTTTGTCTTGATATTCGTCATTTTATCAGCGATAATTAGATAAAATATTTTTTCAGTGGAAAGAACGCGGAATTACAGATCTTGTAACTCTTATCCAACTCGAAATTAGCTAGACGATGCTACGTAGCATTCATATATTCATATATGGCGCCCTGATTCACATGGTGTCCAGGGCGCTTTTAGCCGCACGTCCGCTCTTAAACAGCGGTGTGAGTAATTTCCTAATCATCAGAGTGACTGAGTAGTGTGTAGGGGCTGCCTCGTCCCCAGGCGCTAATAAAAATGTTTCATGCGAGTCACTATATGAAAGGTTTACATGAAGTGGTGCGTCACATTTTAGGCGCGCAAAGGGCAGTGGGACATGTCGATGCCTCAAGCCCATAACTCCCTGCGATTGTTCGTCGCGATGCACTACTTCATGTAAACCTCTCATATAGTGACTCGCATGAAATTTTTTCATTAGCGCCTGGGGACGAGGCAGGTGTAGGGGTGTCTTGTGGAAGTTTGTGACACCGCACACGATAAAACGACGAAGAAAACAGAAATTCGCATGTAAATTAAACCATTGCAACAATAAATACTGGCGTGAGAAGAATGCAATAGTATGTGTCACTCTGCTGATGCAATTATTATGGGACACTTTTGCGCTATGCAAATTAGCAGTCGTAACAAGTCACCAACAGGTCGAATCGAGTCATTTCACTATCTGGTCGAGTCGAGTCAAGTCGAGTCAATGAACGAACATATTATAGATAGGGGTATTGGGTTACCTGTGGGAAACAAGCCTGTTCGCGGGCGACCTGAGTATTGGGGAAAACAACGAACATGTGAGACTTTGTGAGCGAGAGTTTTGTGTAAAAAGTGGGAGTTTTTATAGTTTATTAAACTTTACTAAAACATAATACGAGAGTTTTAGTGTGCCGACACAAGTTCGGCACATTTTGGTGCCGTGACCAGGATTGAACAACGAAATATTTGCGGGTAAAGACGAGAAATTGAGGGTATTACGAAATTCAAGATGGCGGACGAACTTGAACAACAAGAAATTAAGGAGAATAATACGGTAGAAATCACTCAGGAGGAGAAAGACCAGGAGAAAAAGATTAGAAAAGAGATTGAAAAGCTGCAGTTTTATCTCGAGGACGTCGACGAATTATTGGAAAGTGAGGATTTTAATGAAATCAAACAAGTATGCAAGCGAACACAGCAGATTCAGCCTGAATCTGCTGTGCTCGCTTGCATACTTGTTTGATTTCATTAAAATCCTCACTTTCCAATAATTCGTCGACGTCCTCCATTCAGGATAATATGAACGACTTGGTGTCGCATTTACAAGAATTAAAAATTGAGCTGGGAAATTCAACACAAAAATCTATTAGACAGTGGACAAGAGATTTGAAGGCAGAGTATGCACCACTATGTGAGAAACGTGTGAGGTTGTGTAGGGTACTAGACGATAGACAGAGACATGAAAACTTGAGAGCTGAGGAAGAAGTGGCGATCAGAAAGATGGAGAAAGAAGAGCAACTACGTAGGCAGATCCAACAACAAGAGAAAGAAATGTGGGAAGAAAGAATGAGAGCGGAGTTAGTGCTGGCAGAGAAGAAAATTCAGATGGAGAAAGAAGCTAAAGCAAGTACATCGAAACTACCAGAGTTGAAAATATCACCCTTTAATGGCACTTCTGCTGACTGGATAAGGTTTGAGAATATGTTTTCCTCACAAGTTGACAGCAAGTCCATTTCGGACGCTGAGAAATTTGGGTACCTGTTAGAGCTTGTGAATCCGAAGGTGAGAGGTAGACTTTCGAACTTGAAGCCGGGGTCAGAAGGTTACAAAACAGCATGGGAAAAGTTGAAAATGGAATATGGTCATAATAAATTAGTAATTGCAGCTCATATGGAGGAGATTATTAAGTTACAGACAGTGAGAGGAAGAAATTACGATAAGGTATGTGAATTTTATGAAAGTCTTTGCAAAAACTATGACGCACTGCAAACGTTGAGTGAAGAAGCTATGTTAAAGGGGTTGGTGGTATCTACTTTAAATAAACTCCCCCAGGTTAAGCCTGATTTAGTACGTATGGATGATAATTGGGAAGATTGGAACATGAAACAATTGTTATCAGCATTACAGGGGTGGTTCAAGCGTAACAAAACAGAAGAGGTACCAACTAAGGAGCATGAAAACCCAAGAAAGAGGGAGCGAAACTGGTATACCCAAAAGGGGGGAGAGTTTACCAATGGTAAAGGCAAGGGCCCGGTCTGTATTTATTGCGAAGGACAGCACTGGGGAGACCAATGCACATCGTATGACTCTGTGACTAAGCGTAGACAGTTCTTTGTTGAAAAACGACTGTGCTTTAATTGTGGTCGACCAGGCCACCGCGAAAGTAAATGTCGCAGTAGGAGGTGCTACAAGTGCAAGGGCAAACATCACACTATCCTTTGTGATAAACTGCAGGAAAACAATAATCGAGAAAACCACAACGCAATGTTAAATGGATATTTCCCATCCTCTGAAGAGAAGTCTTTACCAGCTATTGTGCCACTTAAAATTAAGGGTAAGACATTTTGGGCGTATCTCGACACGGGCTCTGGGAGAAATTTCATCTCGAAGGAAGCAGTGCGAATCACCCCAGCGCCATGAGAGTAGAAACATCCTAACTGTAAACGGGTCCAAAAAGGCATCAATGCCAGTGTTTGAAGTAACAATCAATTAAGTTGATGGACGGGCAAGTGAGAATATCGAGATTACTGGTACAGAAATGCCAGATTTTACAACTGTGAAAAGACCGACTTTCATAGAGCTAAAGGAGAAATACGAGCATCTTCGCGAGAAAACATTCTACCGGTCAGAAAGCGAAGAGTATCCCATCCATGTCATATTGGGCGATGCTACCTATTGCAAAATACGGACTGATCAAGTCTACAAGGGAAAATCAGAGGATCCGATTGTAGAAGGAACGACCTTCTGTTTGACATTAACGGTCAAGTAGAACATTTAAGATTTACTCGTGTGCCTTTCGGCGTGGAAGCCAGCCCATTTATGCTTGGTGCCACCCTGCAACACCACTTCAATCTGCAGCCAGAAGAGTACCAAAACACCATTGAGTCGTTAAAAGAGAACACTTATGTTGATAATCTAATGAAGACCGGAAGTGATATTGCAGATCTTGAAGATTTCAAACGCGAAGCGACAGAAATCCTAGAAAACGCGAAGTTCCCAGTCCACAAGTGGGAGTCGAATGTCGAAGAACTTGACAACGAATCAAATCCCAGCAAAATACTCGGACATAAATGGAATAAAAGAGAAGATACACTTGAGATTCGAGCAGAACCTACAAAGGAAGAAACACCAGTGACAAAGAGACATATTCTTAAGGAACTCAGTAGCATATATGACCCTTTGGGAATAATATCGCCGACCATGGTTGAAGGAAAGCGCATCTATAGAGAAGCGTGTGATGAGAAAGTCGGCTGGAATTCAGAAGTATCTACCAGCACGTCCAAAGATTGGATAAAGTGGCGACAACAGTTAAGAAACGTGAAAATTCCGAGAAGTCTAGCAAAGGAGATTCGAAAGGTGAAAGCTATACATTTGCATTTATTTGCTGATGCAAGTTTCACAGCGTGCTCGGCGGTCAGTATAGCAGTAATCGAACATTCCAGTGGAATAGTTAAAGGTCTTCTTACGTCAAAGTCCAGAATTGCCAAGAGAAACACTTCCATACCAAGGCTGGAATTAGTTAGCGGTCAGATGGCTGCCAATATGGCTAAGAATTTGGTTGCCGCATTGAGAAGATGGCCAATTGCATCAGTTGCAGTGTGGATGGACAGCCTGGTTGCTTTGTTTTGGATTGCAAGCCCAGAAAGATACTGGAAAATCTTTGCATCAAATCGGACGCGGAAGATTGCTGAAATTACGGAAGTAGGCATCAGTTGGAAGTACTGTCCATCCGAGGAAAATTTAGCTGATTTAGGGAGTCGGGGAGCTTCGATCGACAAAATGGAAAAGGACGGTTGGTTTAATGGTCCCGAGTGGCTAGTTAACCCAGACAAATGGCCAAAACAACCAAAGCTCGAGAGAACAAAGACTGTCCTGGACGAGCAAAAGCCGATGACGGAAGTAGCTTTCAATACGCAAGAAAAAGATCCGGACGAATGGGACTTGCTACTTTCTCGATCAAGCTACTGGAAGACTATTCGTGTTACTGCGTGGGCGTTAAGATTTGTAAGCAATGCAAGAGCCAGAAAACGGAAAACTAACCTAGCGAAAGGTCCGCTGACGACGAACGAGCTAGAACAGTCGAAAGTGCGATGGGTGAAGAAGGTCCAAGAAGACATGAGTTCGGAGCTACGAGCACCTGGATGGGAAGTCATACGAGAAGGTGATTCTGGTTTACTGAAATGTAAAGGTCGAATTCCCGGGTATCAGCCGATATACTTGGAAGGAGGAGACTTTACGGACAAATTGATTATGCATACACACAATGAGATACGTCATTTTGGTATCGCGAACACGATGGCCGCACTAAGAGAGAACTGGTGGATTCCGAGACTGCGCTCGAAAGTTAAAAGGATCATTAACGAATGCAACGTATGTAAAGCGTACCGAGTCAAACCATATGGTCGTACAGCAACTGCCGAACTACCTACGTTTCGAATCGAAAGCGGACAACCATTTGAAACAACGGGTGTTGATTTCGCGGGTCCCCTCACATATAAGCTTACCAAGAAAGAAGAAGGCAAGTGCTACATCCTAATATTTACATGTGCTACATCCAGAGCCGTGCATCTGGAGTTGACGAAGACACAATCGGCAGAGGAATTCAAAGTAAAGCTAAACGCCTTCATCGCAAGAAAGAGCAGACCAAAGTTGATTGTGTCGGACAACGGAGGAGCGTTTAAAGCGACAGCGTTATGGATCAGAAAGATACGTAAAAGTGAACGACTGCAAGATTATTTGGCAAGACAAGAGATTCGGTGGAGATTCAATCTATCCAAGTCCCCTTGGTGGGGTGGAATGTACGAACGCTTACTTAAGGACATTAAAAAAGCCCTGTATAAAGTTCTGGGAAGATCAACATTATGTTTCGACCAGTTACAAGCTATCGTAATTGATATTGAGAAAAATGTAAACAATAGGCCACTGACGTACGTCGAAAGCGAGCAAGAAGAGGAACAAGTGCTCACACCAAATACAATTCTGTGGGGACAAAACGTGCATACCATTGACGAATCAGACACGGATGATGGAGAAGTCGTGAAGTTACACAAACGAATGAAGCAGAAACGAGAGCACGCGTGGCAAAGATGGAAGACGGAGTACGTACATAGTTTGATGGAACATCATCGAGTGATTAAAGGGGAAAATGCGTGTCCAGAAGTGGGAGAAATGATGTTGGTGGTCGGTGAGGAAAAGAATCGAGCTGAATGGAAACGGGGAAAAGTTGTTGAGCTAATCAAGGGCAAGGACAACGTTGTGCGAGGAGTAAAGATCTTGACGAAGGGACATACGATTGAAAGACCACTTTCTCTTGTTTGCTCTCTCGAACTCAAGGAAACAGAGATTGAAGATCCGAAGCCAAAGGTGACGAAGCCAAAAGAAACGGACGAAATCGGACAACGAAAGAGTAAGAGACAAGCAGCAAAGGACGCTAGGTGTAAAATACTGCAGTTGATACAAGAGGAAGAAGATTGAAGAATTGAACTCGACATAACGTCGGACATTTGATTGCGAACATTAACTTTCTAGTTGATATTAGTTATAAAATTAAGAAAAACATTTAATTTTAGAGGGGAGCGTGTACGAACATATTATAGAAAGGGGTATTGGGTTACCTGTGGGTAACAAGCCTGTTCGCGGGCGACCTGAGTATCGGGAAAAACAACGAACATGTGAGACTTTGTGAGCGAGAGTTTTGTGTAAAAAGTGGGAGTTTTTATAGTTTATTAAACTTTACTAAAACATAATAAGAGAGTTTTAGTGTGCCGACACAAGTTCGGCACATACGGCGCCTAAAACTTTCTTCCATTTTTCGACTTTAAATGCATTTCTTTCGAATTTAATCGATATCCCCGGCAAGAATGATTACATACAACTCTCAAAACAACGATGCTTTAATCAAAGAGCTTAATTCGCTTCAAAATACTCGAAGGAACGACAAAATTCGCCTAAAATACATCCGAGGCATGTAGGTGCTGTGCAGTAAACAGGAATTTGTTAAGCCACTGATTGAC